ATTCTATTATTTTGCTTCACACTTTTGCTTGATCTAATATCAATTAGCACGGCAAAGACCAGGAATTAAATCTGGGATATACATGATTCATTAGAGTGTCAATGCCACAATCTGTTTTAGTATTGGACAGTAGCGTGCCAGTCATTGGTAGTTGGTAGCATGAGTCTCTGAGTTACAAGGCTTTGAGTTCACATTTCACGCCAGCAGTTGAGCACACTCCCGGTGTAGTACTGAAGAAGCTATTGCACTATTGGAGGTGCAGTTTTTTCAGATGAAACATTGAACCAAGGCCCCATCTGTCTGCTTAAATGGATGAGAAAGAATCCCGTAGGACTACTTTGAAGGGGAGTTGGCCACAGTGTGCTGGTCCATATCTATCCCTCACTCATCATCACAAAAATAGACAGACAATCTTAAATAAGAGATAACAAGGTGTAGAGCTGGATGAACACAGCAGGCCAAGCAGCAGAGGAGCAGGAAAGCTGACGTTTCGGGTCTGGACCCTTCTTCACAAAACGTCAGCTTCCTTGCTTGGCCTGCTGCGTTCATCCTGCTCTACACCTTGTTATCTCAGATTCTCCAGCATCGGCAGTTCCGACTATCTCAGACAATCTTAATGTTGTTTGTGGGTGTGTGATAAGCAGAAATTAGGTGCTCTTTCTCCTACATTCCAAACTGTGAATAACTTCACCACTGAAAGGTGTAGATTATCAGCTGACATCTCAAGCATAAAACTGCAATTGCAGATCCTCCATGCATGGTAGAAACTACCCAAATTTCATTTTAATTGAATCTAATTATACTGGCAGTAAGTTATAAACTAACCCAAGATACCAAGGGAACAGCTACTATTATTTGGTGCATTGGAAAACAAAATGTGTCCCTTTACACGTAAAACTCTGGTTAAGTCCAAACATCATTATGTTGGTTTAATTTTCTGGTTCTGCCTTAGGGCTGAAAATGAAGTAATAAGGTGATGGCAAAAATAGATCTTTTTGAAATCCATCTAGACATCAATGGGATCTATTGGCTTAGAGAGTACATTAAAATACAAAATGAAAGAAGGTTGGAAATAAACAAAAAGAAAAGATAATTGATATTATAAAAGCAGAATAAATGATAATGGATTGGCAAAGATTGTTGACACATGATTATGCAGTGGGGTCCAGATCAAGCAAAAAAACCTTCAAAACACTGGGAAGATTGGATCAATGATATTGAGGCCACACAACCTAAATAGTCTTTCCCACATGAAAGAATGTGTTAGCATGGTTTTTATTCACAATCCATTCATAGATCAACTGTATAAAGTCATGTGGCTTCATCATTAGCTTCTTTTCTGGAAGCTCGATGAAAGAGTTAAAAATTGAATATTACGGCATTTTAGGGTTTTATAAATATATAGAAGGAACAAACTCATGGAGAAAAGGACTTCTTTATTTTGAGCTTTCATGAAATGAATGCATTGGTGTCGACAACTGTGTAAATACGCAATAAGCCACAATTTCAACAGAGTGAGCAGGCCAGGGAGGAAGGTGTTTTGACAACTTGAGATAGCTAAGTAACGGTATGTAGTAGGATTAATAGAAGGAAACAAAATGATTAGAGAAAGAGAATACACATCATTAAGCCTTCCAATTACAATTGCCAATGAATAAACAATATTTTCAAATATTTATTGTGTCACAGCCTACATCAATTATGGAACATATTTCAAAGGATATAAATTGATTTTGCCTTTCAGTGTAGCTTTGCCTATTTGTGTTAAAATGAATGTTATAAATCTACATCAGTGGGAGCATTTTTAAAAACTCGTGTTTATGAAATAACACTCACAATTTCAAATGAGTATGTTCAATTTCCTCCCTCATCCTATTAAATTGATTTTCAGATTGTAAACAATAAATTAAAATCTTCAAGAGCATATTTATCTCACAGAAGCAATACATTATCTCAAACATGTTCGCTGAAGGAACTCTGGCACTAGTTTATGGAAGCAAGTCAAAGAAAGGGGAATTGGTCTCTTCGTAACAGAGCAGAAATGCTAATATTTTTACGAAGCTTTTTTATGTGCCCTGTGTTTTGTTGTCAATACAGACATCACTAGGCTACAGATGGTTCTAAAGTCAACACATAGTTGTTCAATTTGTCATCAATGGCACTCTAAAGCCAGTCACTAAGGAAGTATACAATGGGTGCAACGAAATTTCCAAATTTCCTGTGCCCATGGAGGGAGGTCTGATGTCTGGAACATACCTGAAATTAGGATGTCAGTGCGCAATTAAAACTCCAACTCTGTGTCACTCCATCATATGACTCTACTTCTAAATACTCCATGGTACCACCATTAATGCTTAAGCCATTGTTGAAGTAATACTTTTACTGTCGTCTTTTTCAGTTACAAAATATGGGAAAATGAACAGAATCCTTTAATTGCAATCCAAAACCACCAGTTAGAATTCGTGAAACTCAAGAAACAAACGTAGAATTTGAGTGTATCAGTTACCAAAAACCAATGGTTATAATAATGAATGAATGGAAATTTGGAATACAATCCCCTAAACTCTGGCACACTTCTTCAACTGTGAATGTACTCAGTTGTAAACTGTACCTGGTAATTCCATGTGGGCAGTTTAATTGTGTTGCATGAGGCCACTCCTAAGAGTTCAATTTATGTCTGCCAAACTGGTACACTCAGAACTGCCCCAACTGCACAACAGCACAATGTATTGGGCATTTTTAAGTGAGCATTTATTTTAATTTAATCTGAAAGTTTTGCATTATAAAGGGGCATCGGTGAGTGCTGATGGCATAACATTACTAGAACTTTGCACATGATTGAGAATGGTAAAGTGACATTCAGAAACACTAAAATGAAACAAAAAACATTCTGAAGGAGGGTTACTGGACTTGAAACATTAAATGTTTCACTCTTCACAGATGCTATCAGACCTGCTGAGTTTCTCTAGCAATTTCTATTTTTGTTTGCTTCAGAAACAATTTGGTATCCCTTAAAAACAGATAAAATCCTTTTTTTGTTTGCTGTCCTCTCTCCATCACCTCTGAAGATATTAACTGATAGTGCCTGCTGGAGTATGACTAAGTGCTCCTTCATAACTGGATGATATAGGCATTAATGGTATTGGATCAATACTTGCTGTCTCAGCATGCTAACCAAATGGCAGATTTCCAACCAAGGAATTTCTTGGAATGAGGAAAATGAAGTCTAGCTAAATTTCCTCCCTGGATTAAAAAAAAACTGAGACTTATTCCCAGCCAAACAAAGTCAAGCTGAGAACAACAAAGGAAGGGAAATTGAAGTGTCATAAGCCCGATTGGAAGGTGATGTAAAATCCCTGCCTTTTTGAACTTCCTCCCTGGAAATGCTTGCTGGTCTAATTTCCATGCCAATAGAAAATCCTCCAGTGTCATAACTAAGTCATAATGCAAGTGAGAGAGCCTGGAAAGCACATTCATTTATACCATTGAGCACACCACAGCTAAGCTTAAAATTGCATTCACTCAACTTTCAATACTTCTGCTTTACATCAGTGATCAGTGGATTGTATGCAGGATTGGAAGACCTTGTTAATTATTCATCTCTCACATCCTAAGCCACTGAGTTAAAAAAAAAGTTGCTGAAAAATTATCAATGGAAAGAACTTGTATTTTATGCAACAGTCAAAAAGTTACAACGAACAATTGCACCTACTTGCCAGGTACAATAGATCTAATTTCAACATGACATCACCTGTATCTTTAATTCTGGCTGCGATGCAATTGACTGATTTATAGCCTTCCATCATACTTTAGAGAGTGTTGGGGGCTGAGGTTGAAGTGAACTGTAACCCACAGTAACAAGACCAGAAAATAGTCAACATTCAGAAGTTTTTGGGAAATGAATAAAATTTTTAACAGACATCCCAAATCACTCGGTAAAATCATTAAATCACCTCTAAACGTAGAATTTGACAGAAATCAGTTACCATAATCTACTAGACCAAAAAAATGAGGGAGTGGAAACATGACAAATAACCAAATTCCAATGCACCCCTTCACAAATACAAAATCTAAGCTTTTCAATCAAAACCAGTGGACTGCTCTCAATATCACCTTCCTTGGCAAGGGAACCTGGTGCTTCCTGTGACTTTTTTCAAATCTTAGTTTTATTCCAGCACTTTTCAGTAATGTTGCTGCTGAACAACATTTTCACACTGTTTTCCCTTGCCAAGTACCAACTGACTCAATTCGTCTTTGCGTTGAGGAGTTATATAAAATTCTATGTGGCAATATTCAGATAAATTAGTAGGGGTAATGACCAAATTGAACATGTCCTGGACAGTGACACTCAATACAACTTAATAGGGGCAGCACGGCGGCTCAGTGGCTAGCACTGCTGCCTCACAGCGCCAGGGACCCGGGTTCGATTCCACCCTTGGGCGACTGGCTGTGTGGAGTTAGCACGTTCTGCCCGTGTCTGTGTGGGTTTCCTCCAGGTGCTCCAGTTTCCTCCCACAGTCCAAAGATGTGCAGGCTGGGTGGATTGGCCATGCTAAATTGCCCATCGTGTTCAGGGATATATAGATTAGGTGGGTTACAGGGGGATGGGTCTGGGTGGAATGCTCCAAGGTTCACTGTGGACTTGTTGGGCCGAAGGGCCTGTTTCCACACTAAGGATTCTACGATATATGACAAGCCTGTTATTCAAATGATATTGACCAAACCTGCCTGGGATGCATCTTTACACAATGTTTTAAAAAATAAACCAAAATTCTCTATTAGTAGAAATAGTTATGAGAGCATAAAGCAGCGGCTGTAGAAGTACACAGCACTTCTGCAGTACAATTCCCATGCAGTACTGTGTAAGAAACATTTTTCTGACCCTTCTGGCTAGGGGATCTCTAGTTGAAGTGTTAACATTTGATTCCAGCCCCTCTGCAATGCTTTCCGACCCCTCCTCTGCTTAAAATGTCTAAACCAGCTTTAAAAAGTTGACTTACCTCATCTATCAGGGCTGCAAACTGGTCCAGGGGACAGTGAGCCAGGTCTCCGAACAGCAGATTGGTCCTCACGGAATCTGCGGTCAGTTTGTCTTTGTGTCTTTTGACGAAGAAAACAGCTTTGTTTTTGCTGAGGTTTGGAAAATGCAGACTAGGCACCAGGTGCCCAGCCGGGTTCGTAGACACCACCAGCACCATCTGCTCGCTGTTCTCCATAAACTCCTGGATCACAAGCCGGTGCTCCTCAGTGCCAGTGCATTTGTGCCAGCGCTCAGCTTTCAGCTTCAGAGCCTTCAGCACATAGTCCTGCAGGAACTCCCACCTCCGGTCACAGCTGCTGTCCTCCATGCCTTCTCCAATTCCTGCAGCCGGCGATCTGAGAGCTGCTGTGAAGAGTGAGAGACGCTGGGTGAGGCCAGCCCTTAGCAACCGGATTGTTTGCAGGTTGCATGCAAGGAACATGCGTGGGGCTTCATTCGGGAGAGCAAGTGGGTTGGCCAGCACGAAACATCCAGCTCCTCCCCACACCAGCCTGGTGCCAGGAAAGAGGATGGCAGTGACAATTACTGGAAGAAGGGGGAAGGCATCCAGAGCAGAGACAGGTGAAGAGAGATCAAACAAACAAACAAAAAGGATGGTCGGGGTGGAGCTAAGAATTGGAAGGGATATATGAGAAAAGGCTATGAGAAGATGAAAAAAGGAGGTGAAGGGACCACGGGGAAGAAGTGCAAGTGAGAAATAAAAAAAAAGTGTCCAAGAACTTCAAAAGCAAAACAAACAATCTCCTGGGGTGTACACCTGTTGAATGTCGTGAGGGCAAATTCTATTTCTCTGCTCAACAGCAAAACAATCAGAAGTAGGTTTACCAGATCCCAATTAAACTGCAGGTCAGGAGCAGATTACTGCAGATGCTGGAATCTGTACTGAAAGTAAAAAATGCTGGTGGTCACAGCAGGTCAGGAGAGAGAAAGCAAGCTAACTTTGAGTCTAGATGATGAAGGGTCAGCTAGATTCAAAACATGAGCTTGCTTTCTCTCCACGGATGCTGCCTGACCTGTTGTGATCACCAGCATTTTTTTTTTTTAAAAAACTTACAGTAAACTATAGGTCATCTCTTCTCCTTGGTTGTAATCCGCCCATAACAACAAATAAAGAACCATTGTCAACTAATCGATTTGAAGACCATCTGCAATGTTCTGACAAACTTCTGGAGCTGGTGGGTCTTGAGACCCCATCCTTCTGACACACAATTATAGACCCTACCACTGTGCCGTAAGTCCCTGCAAGACCAGGTGTTCTTTGCAAATAGAGTTATAAATAATCTGGGAAGCCAGTTGAGTGCAATGACTTTAATCCCAAGATTCACTATCCTATCAGATACTTTTGGTTAGTTGGACATTTGTCCCTGTGTCTGTATCAGACTGAATCAGAAGTTCACAAATAAATGTTTGCACACAGAATTGTAGACATATGCATATCCGTCATTTGGAACTTCCTGAGATGTGAGAGATGATTGTTCCTCACACTCTTATTTGAAAAAAAAATTGCGCTCCATGACTATATAGATTCATGGAGGTGGTACAGGGTTCTAGGGGTGGGGTTGGTACATTTGGGATCAGAAGCAGATACCTGATTACATCGGCACAATGCTTCTCGACAGCTGTGATGCCAGTTATGTCTGGCGTATCAACAAAACACAAAGTTCACTATCACTTAAAAACTATCAAAGTGATTACTTTCAGTCAGGAAAAGACAAAAAAGAAGTCGGGTCTGTCCAGCACAAGCAACACTGAATTGTCTAGAGTGCAGAATAGGAATTGATCAGAGGTACATACACAAACACAGCTGTGAGTGGGGAACTTTCAACAATTTTACTTTTCACGTTAGGCACATAGCTAGTGACAAACCAGGAGGAGGTAAACCCAGTAGCCTAAAATTACTTGCATTGGACAAACTCAAACTGGACTCTAATAAAAGCAAAATACTGTCGATGTTACAAACCTGAAATAAAAACTCAGTGCTAGAAAAATGCAGCAGGTCTAGGAGCATCTGTGAAGAGAAAGTCGTATTGAACATTAACTCTGTTTCTCTCTCAGCAGATTCTACCAGATCATTTGAGTTTTCACAACACTTAAAAAAAATTAATTCATACGATGTGGACACTGCTGGCAAGGACAACTTGCGATGCATATTTCTAATTGTCCTTGAGCTGCACAGCTTGCGAGACAATTGCTGAGCACCAGTTAAGAGTCAGCCAGATTGTTGTGGTTCTGTGGACCAAACCAGATACGGACTGCAAATTTCCCTCTGAGGGATTATAGTGAACCAGATGGATTTTTGCAACAACAATCAGGGGAAGGCATAAATGGCAGTAGACAATTCATATTTCAGATCTCCGACATCTGCATTATTGCGCATTTATAAGATAATTTCATGGCCGCCATGACTTTGAACAACTTTACAATAACTGAGGATTTATTAATGAATTTAAATACCACCACCTGTTATGGTAGAATTTAAACGCAAATGCCCAAGGCATTAGTTCAATCCTGTGAATCAAAGCACAGTGACCACCATCGCCTAATTCTATTCCAACATAAGCCATTGCGCACACTGCCTTCATCCTGTGACAAAGTTATGCAAATTTCCTGGTTATATTATTAACAAAAGCTGCTGCAAGTTAAGAGATGAGAAGCAAGTGTCATAACCAATAACAATAAAGTAACAATTACAGAATCAATTGTTTCTGGGTTGTTTTTTGGTTGATTGTCTTGAAATTGCTCTTACCTTTCCAAAAGGCCCTGTAAAAATCAAGATGACCCTGAATTCAGTTGAACATGTTGTGTTTTACAAATGAAATTCAATCTTAGAAAGATATTTAAAATGGTAGACTGTAGTATTTTTGTGAAAATTAGTCTTAAAATACATTTGATGCTGCATCCACAATGTTGGAGTATAAGAGCACCAGCTTTATGGGGTTTGGATGTAAATGAATGCATTTTAAACATTGCACAGGCTACATGGACAGTTTTTTTTTGTATCTTGTCTTGTTTTCTTCCATTAGCAGACTGCAACTTATTAGGAGACAGGCATTTATACGAACATGCAAATTGGGAGAAGGAGACAATTTGCTTCCCTGAGTGTATTGCACTATTCGATTAGATCATGGCTAATTTGTTTGTGTTTTCATCCCTGCATTCCTATTAAGTCCTGATAACCTTTAATTCCCTTGCGTGACAAAATCTATCTAACTTTCTCTGCCTTAACAATATTCAATAACCTTCTATATCTTGTAAGGCAGACAGTTCCAAAGTCTCACAGCCACAAAGAAAAAAAACCTTTTTTCCCCCCTCTGAGTCCAAAAAGGAAAATGCTTAAATGTAGAATTCTGGACTCACCCACACAAGGAAACATCATTTCCACATCCATCATATCAAGACTTGTTCGGGATCTTTTATGCTTCAAATCAAGTCTCTCCACACTCTTCAAAAGTCCAGTGAAAACACACCCAGTCTGTCAAACTTTCCCTCATAAGACAGTCTGCTCATTCCAGGTATCAATCTAGTAAACCACCTCCAACACATTTTCATTCCTAAATAAAGCAGACACAAACTATGTATAATAAGCAATGCAGTCTTACCAGTACCCTGTTTAACCAAAGCATAATATCGGTTTATGTTCAATTCCACTTGTAATAAAGTAATTTTGCATTTTCGCACATTATACTTCATCTATTGAATCTACATATATTGGTCAGCAGCCTTGTATACTCTTTACGACATACCTCCCCTGCAAGTTTAGCTACCACGGTTTTTGCATCCCATTTCTAAATCATTGATATGAATTGCAAAAAACTGAAAACCAGCACAGACCCCTGTGGGACCCCATTTGGCACATCATGCTAACCAGGGAAAGACCCATTTATGCATATTCTGTTTTCTATCAGCCAGCTAATCTTCAATGCTAGGATGCTAGTCACTACATAATGTGCTTATACATTGTGCAATAACTTTTCATGTGACACCTTATGAAATGCCTTCTGGAAATCGAGATGCTGCATGTCAGTGGGCTCCCCTATCTCCACAGTATGTTACTCCATCATGTAATTCCTATAAATTGGTTAAACATCATTACATTTCAAAAAAACTCATGATTCCAGTTGATTTTGATACTGAACAAAATCAGATTCCACAGTGAAACCTGGTTTGGTAGGACTCCAGTTTTATTTTTCCAATTGTCTCTTCCTGAATACCTTGAAATTTAAGTAGCCAACTATAACCTCCTTAATGATCATCATATGATCTACCACATATCGCTGCACTGAGTTTTAATGCTTTCCTTAGCTTTTTGAGATAACGACACAATGGCTTTTGGTAGGAATATACTTACTCTGAAATATTGCCATAAAAGTCTTGCTGCTGCTTCTTCACTATCTATTTCCTAGCTTAGTTTCTCAATTCACAAGTAGCTAAACTTTTTGAATCACATAGTTGCCCTCATTTAGGTTTTAAATGCGCCCAATCTGTACCCTTTGAATTTTACATTCAATTTAATCCTATTGTGGTTACAGCTGCGGAGAGGTGCACTTTATGAAGAGGTCACCCTGACTCTTTACACGGGGCTAATTTAACCTGCTCTCTGGTAGTGGTGCTGTTCCAAGATGTTTTCTTGAAAGTATTGTGTGAACTCTTCATCCAGGCAATTATTGCCAGCCTAATTTTTCCAGTTTGTGTTCCCATTTTATCTAATATTGCAACAATAAATGTATCAACACAGATCAAATGTCTTAAGTATTCACTGTAATCATTAAAACAATCTAGAGTCTCCTATACTTATTAGGATGAGCAAGCAGAACTCCCTCTTAAACAAACCACATTGAATCCAAAACAGCAAACCCATCTTATTTTCCAAATATTGCAAGGCTATTAAAAGTTTCAGCAGAGAGGTCAGTTACATTATGATCCCATTTGAGGGTGATACTGGACAAGTTGGATTCCAAGTGAAAACTGGCTCGATACGACATAAATTTTGTTTTTGCAATTTGGTTACCATGCAGGTCAGCCAAATTCTCTGTAAGCTGCACAGCTACATTAAGTATGTGGGCATGCCTATTTGCATGCAGACAAACTGGCTTCCAGCTTCAGAAGTCACCATTATGTTTGGACCTTGGAGGTCCACACAGCAGCAGGAAAAATGAGAAACGATGTAGATGACCAATCACAGAAAATAACTGCAAGTGGCTGCCAATGTTCTTTTGTTAAAAATACACACGTTTACTTCATACAGAATAGGAAAAACAAATCCTTAAAAGACAATTAGGCAAAAATAAATCATAAAAAGCAAATGAT